GTCTGGGCATCTTTGCTTAGACTGCTGCCCCCGCGACCCGGCCCCGGATAAGCGGAAGAAAATGGATGGATGGATGGATGGATAAATAAGAAGGGCTATACAAAGCTGTCAGGACATAAGCCAACTTAATTTCACATACTGCAACCCCAAATCAGAAAAAGTTTGCGCAATATGTAAAATATAAATTAAAACTGAAAATAGTGATGTGTAAATCATCTGTATCCTGTATTACATTGAAAACAATACAGCGGCACATTAGTTAATGTGATACCTCATCAATTATATTTTTTGTAATACAGTGCCTTGCGAAAGTATTCGGCCCCCTTGAACTTTGCGACCTTTTGCCACATTTCAGGCTTCAAACATAAAGATATAAAACTGTAATTTTTTGCGAAGAATCAACAACAAGTGGGACACAATCATGAAGTGGAACGAAATTTATTGGATATTTCAAACTTTTTTAACAAATAAAAAACTGAATAATTGGGCGTGCAAAATTATTCAGCCCCTTTACTTTCAGTGCAGCAAACTCTCTCCAGAAGTTCAGTGAGGATCTCTGAATGATCCAATGTTGACCTAAATGACTAATGATGATAAATAGAATCCACCTGTGTGTAATCAAGTCTCCGTATAAATGCACCTGCACTGTGATAGTCTCAGAGGTCCGTTTAAAGCGCAGAGAGCATCATGAAGAACAAGGAACACACCAGGCAGGTCCGAGATACTGTTGTGGAGAAGTTTAAAGCCGGATTTGGATACAAAAAGATTTCCCAAGCTTTAAACATCCCAAGGAGCACTGTGCAAGCGATAATATTGAAATGGAAGGAGTATCAGACCACTGCAAATCTACCAAGACCTGGCCGTCCCTCTAAACTTTCAGCTCATACAAGGAGAAGACTGATCAGAGATGCAGCCAAGAGGCCCATGATCACTCTGGATGAACTGCAGAGATCTACAGCTGAGGTGGGAGACTCTGTCCATAGGACAACAATCAGTCGTATACTGCACAAATCTGGCCTTTATGGAAGAGTGGCAAGAAGAAAGCCATTTCTTAAAGATATCCATAAAAAGTGTTGTTTAAAGTTTGCCACAAGCCACCTGGGAGACACACCAAACATGTGGAAGAAGGTGCTCTGGTCAGATGAAACCAAAATCGAACTTTTTGGCAACAATGCAAAATGTTATGTTTGGCGTAAAAGCAACACAGCTCATCACCCTGAACACACCATCCCCATTGTCAAACATGGTGGTGGCAGCATCATGGTTTGGGCCTGCTTTTCTTCAGCAGGGACAGGGAAGATGGTTAGAATTGATGGGAAGATGGATGGAGCCAAATACAGGACCATTCTGGAAGGAAACCTGATGGAGTCTGCAACAGACCTGAGACTGGGACGGAGATTTGTCTTCCCACAAGACAATGATCCAAAACATAAAGCCAAATCTACAATGGAATGGTTCACAAATACACATATCCAGGTGTTAGAATGGCCAAGTCAAAGTCCAGACCTGAATCCAATCGAGAATCTGTGGAACGAACTGAAAACTGCTGTTCACAAACGCTCTCCATCCAACCTCACTGAGCTCGAGCTGTTTTGCAAGGAGGAATGGGCAAAAATTTCAGTCTCTCGATGTGCAAAACTGATAGAGACATACCCCAAGCGACTTACAGCTGTAATCGCAGCAAAAGGTGGTGCTACAAAGTATTAACTTAAGGGGGCTGAATAATTTTGCACGCCCAATTTTTCAGTTTTTTTATTTGTTAAAGTTCCACTTCATGATTGTGTCCCACTTGTTGTTGATTCTTCACAAAAAATTACAGTTTTATATCTTTATGTTTGAAGCCTGAAATGTGGCAAAAGGTCGCAAAGTTCAAGGGGGCCGAATACTGTTACAAGGCACTGTAATCACTCATTTCAATCCTGATGCTGCAACACATTCCAATTAAAGTTGGGACAGTAAAACATTTACCACAATGTGATTCTGCCGTTTCTTTTCACAACACTTAGAGTTTTAGGGACTGAGGACACCAAGTGATTAAGTTCTCTATTGGGGACAGGCCAGTCCAGCACTCGCACCCTTTTCCTCCACAGCCAGGCCTTGGTAATGTGGCAGGATGAGGTATTACATTGTCTTGTTGATATATGCATGGGTGTCCCTGGAAAAGGCGTCATCTTGAAGGAAGCATATGTTGCTCCAGCATCTTTGTGTATTGGTCAGCATTAATGGAGCCATCACAGAAGTATAAGTTCCCTTTGCGCAGGGCACTGACACAACCCCAGACCATGACAGATCCTGGCTTTTGGACTTGTTGCTGGGAACAGCTTGGATGGTCCTTTTGTCTTTGGTCCGGAGCACACAGCGTCCATTCCTTCTATAAAGACCTGAAACACTGATTCATCTGACCACAGTACACGTTTCCACTGTGTGATGGTCCATCCCAGATGCCTCTGAGCCCAGAGCTTCTGGACACTGTTGATTTCGTTTTGGCACAGTACAGTTTTAAGCAGCATTTATGGATGTAACTACATGTTGTAGTGCCTGACATCGGTGTGCCAAAGTCATCCTGAGCCCGTGTGGATATATCACTTTTAGAAGAGTGACAATTCTTGATGCAGCACCATCTGAGGGATCAGAGAGCTCAGTCATCCAGCTTAGGCTTGGCCCTTTTACACACTGAAATCCCTCCAGATTTGTTGAATCTTTTAATGATGTCCTGCACTGTACAGGGTGACAGATCCAGATCCTTTCCTATCTTTCTTTGAGGAACATTGTTTTAAACATTTCAATAATTTTGTCACACATACTGTATGTTGGCAAACTGGTGGTCCTCTGCCCATCTTTGCATCTTTGCTTTCCGGTGGGGGAAAGCTGCCTATGACGGGGTGAAAACGGGTGTAAAAAATGAGTACTGATTTAAAGTAAAAAGTCCATAGCTGAGATAAAGCTATAGCAGGAAGTTGTGTTAAAATAAAAGCATGAGACCGGAAACAGGCAGGACAGAATCATGACATTACATACATCCCAACTTTTTCTGAGTTGGGGTTGTACCACTGAGAAAGACAAAACTAAAGTAGCCTTCTGCCATTTAGTTTTCAGTTTATTCTCTGTATTATCCCCCACCCCCACCTCCTAGAAATTGTATTAATGTAATACTAAATTTCTGCAGTAAATACATTGTCAGAAATGCAATGCCACCCAGATACAGACGTGGACAAAATTGTTGGTACCCTTCCGTTAAAAAAAGAGAAACTCACAATGGTCACTGAAATAATGTGAAACTGACAAAAGTAATAATAAACAAAAATTTAATGAAAATTAATTAATGACAATCAGTCACTGCTTTTGAACTGTGGTTCAACAGAAGCATTTTAAAAGACAAACTAATGAAACTGGCCTGGACAAAAATGAAGGTACCCTTAATTTAATATTTTGTTACACAATCTTTTGAGGCAATCACTGCAATCAAGCGATTTCTGTAACTCCCAATGAAACTTCTGCACCTGTCGACAGGTATTTTGGCAAACTCCTCGTGAGCAAACTGTTCTAGCTGTCTCCGGTTTGAAGGATGCCTTCTCCAGACTGCATGTTTCAGGCCTTTCCACAGATGGTCAACAGGATTTAGACCAGGGCTCATAGAAGGCCACTTCAGAACAGTCCAGCTTTCTGACACTGGGCAGCACTTTTCGCTCCAGAATGCCTTGATAGTCTTGAGATTTCATTGTACCCTGCACAGATTCAAGACACTCTGTACCAGATACAGCAAAGCAGCCCCAGAACATAACTGAGCCTCCTCCATGTTTCACAGTAGGTACAGTGTTCTTTTCTTTGTATGCTTCATTTGTGCGTCTGTGAACATAGAGCTGATGTGACTTGCCAAACAGTTACAGTTTTGTCTCATCTGTCCAAAGGACATTCTCCCAGAAGCTTTGTGGCTGGTCAATATGCATTTTGACAAATTCCAGTCTCACTTTTTTATGATTTGCTTTCAACAGAGGAGTCCTCCTCGGTCGTCTTCCATGAAGTTCACTGTGGCTCAAACAGAGACGGATGGTGCCATCTGACACTGATGTACCTTGACCTTGGAGTTCACCTCTAATCTCTTTGGAAGTTGTTCTGGGCTCTTTGGTTACCATTCGCATT